TACAGACAGAGACGTCCGCGTCAGCGGCAAACATCAGGATGACTAGCCGAGGAAAGGCTGTTCCAGGCGGGGGACACGAGCGCGAGCGTCCGGTGATCGCTTGGAATGGATCTCAGTCAAATTATCAAACATCTATAAATAAACCACAGATTTGATCTTTAAAAAACTACTTTCTCGCCTGAAAAACTCTTAAAACTACATTTCGTGACACAATAACAGTAGAATTATATTTCAACTGTATGCTTCTAATGCCCTTGTAGCACGCGTGAGTGATGACTCTGTCCACCAATCACCATTCTGCAGTGAGTCTAGCTCCACCTTTTTGTACCCTTTCACTGTGCTAGGTACCCTAACGAAAGGGTACCCAAAAAGTGGTACGGTACGGTTCGGCTTTTTGGTACCATTCACAACTTTTGACAGTGGAAACGCAAATAATTGCGTACCGAACCGAACTGTACCGTACCGTACCACTCAGTGGAAACGAGCCATTAGTTACCTAAAGGCACCGGGGTGGCGGTGCCGAAGGCTTTGGCCCTTTCATGATTAAATGTTAAGACGGCTTGCCATACTCTGTCATTTCGACTAGTCACAATTATGTCACAGATATCTTAAATGATAATACAAACTATCCAAAATTTAATTACGACTAGACAGAAAGACGTTGTTGATATATACAATGTTAATTCCGGATAGGCAAACTTAGCTTTTAAATGTTAAAAGGGCTTGCCATACAGGGACATAGGCTCAGAGAGATGCTCACCATATTCAAACCAATATATCTGACTTCCTCTTGGTCCGAACTAATAACTATGTATTAGAAAGTTGTCCGGCTTGAGGAGTACAATGTATATACCGATTTTTGTAACTGTAGATAAAACTAACAACCCCACTTTTGTCAAAAGGTGGCGCTATTTAGTCCTTGCACCCTGCCCGTTTCTGAAACTTTGCATATGTCTACTGGCTAATAAATGTGATGTGTGTGTTGAGTTTCATGCAATTTCAAGCATGCTAAGAGTCTCAAAAGCATCCTAAAATAATTTCAAAGTTTGAAGCGTTGCCACAGCAACAGTTTCAAAGATATCAAGAGTCCATTCACAGGTCTTCATCTGCCGTGTATTTACATTATACAGATGAAGGTTGAAGCAAATCGGGTAAAAATAAGATGGTGATTTCAAAGCATTTTGAAAGTGACACACTTCCTGCTGTCAGTTGGTGGTGCTATAACTTTGACTCACAATAGTCACATCCATGTGATCGTCCTCTTACAGCGAACAAACTGCTGAAGTTTCATCAAGATCAGTTAATGTATGCTGAAGTTATAACACACTTCTTGTTTCACGTTTCTCGCCATAATTCCGTTTCCTCACCACGGCCAAACCGTTTGAGGTATCAAAAATCCCCACGCAAACTTTCAACCTCAATGTCTTGACTTCATGCTGACCGAGTTTCATCGAATTTGGATCAGAGCTCTAGGAGGAGTATTTCAAATTTCATTGCATGCGTTTTACAAACAACCCTCAATAGCCGACTTCTTGTTGGCTGGGGTAAAAAGTAAGAGTGTGAAGTATATATGAAACGATGAGATCAACATGTGTACCGAGTTTAATATTATCACATGCAAGCGTGTTTGATTTATGGACCAAGTTTTTGGACCCCGTTCCAGGGGGCGCTGTCTAGCCCCCCTGCCACGCCCAGGTACCATTTTCAGCCCGGCTCTGATGGCTGTGGGATCTGACCTGTGTGCAAAGTTTCAAGAGTTTTCAAACCCGTTAAGGGCCCCAAAAGCTGCTAAGAGTCTCAAAATCATAAAAAAAAAGAATTTTAAAGTTTGATGCGTTGCCACGGCAACAGTATCAAAGATATCAAGAATCCATTCACAGGTCTTCATCTGCTATGTATTTACATTATACAGATGAAGTTTGAAGCAAATTGGGTAAAAATAAGAGGGTGATTTCAAAGCATTTTGAAAGTGACACACTTCCTGCTGCCAGTTGGTGGCGCTATAAATTTGACTCACAATAGTCACATCCATGTGATCGGCCTCTTACAGCGAACACACTGCTGAAGTTTCATCAAGATCAGTTAATGTGTGCTGAAGATATAACACACTTCCTGTTTCACGTTTCTCGCCATAATTTCGTTTCCTCGCCACGGCCAAACCGTTCGAGATATCAAAAATCCCCTCGCAAACTTTCATCCTCAATGCCTTGACTTCATGCTGACCGAGTTTCGTGCCGTGTGTTTGAATTCTCTAGGAGGAGTATTTCAAATTCCATTGCGTGTGTTTTATGAACAACCCTAAATAACCGACTTCCTGTTTGGCTGGGGTAAAAAGTAATAGGATGAGGTATATATGATCCGATGAGATCTATATGTGTACCGAGTTTCATATTATTACATGCAAGTGTGTTTGATTTATGAACCAAGTTTTCGGAGCCCGTTGCACTGTCGAGCCCCCCAGCCACGCCCGGGTACCAGCTTCAGCCTGGCCCTGATGGCCGCGGATTCTGACCCATGTGCAAAGTTTCAAGAGTTTTCGAGCATGTTAAGGGCCCCAAAAGTGCCAGAATAGTCGATTAAGGAAAACAATAGGGCCTTCGCCCTTTCAGGGCTTGGGCCCTAATAATAATCTTAAGGAAAACAATAGGGCCTTCGCCCTTTCAGGGCTTGGGCCCTAATAACCCTAACAGTTTCAATAGGGTCCTCGCACTGTTAGTGCTCGGGCCCTAATAACCCTAACAGTTTCAATAGGGTCCTCGCACTGTTAGTGCTCGGGCCCTAATTATTTTTTATTTAATATAGTTAAAGCCTTGTATGGATATAATCAATCAAGGTCCATTTCCATAGTATCAGTTAATATGCTAATGTGCTAACATTCCAACCCTCATTACCCTTTCCATCAAAGGGGTGTGGCTCACAAATCATTTCATTGACAAATCAGAAACCTGTCTGGGTTGTTCATCCAATGAAAAAATAAGATATTTGTTGAATTTTCATTAATAGTTTCCTCTGTGTCAGACAGGTATATAAAGACTGTCCTGAAAGACTGTTCTTACTCACACAGACAGATCCTCCAAGTCTGCATCCTCTGCTTATACAGCAAGAAATTTGTTTCACTGAATTGCTCTTTTTTCTTTGAATCTGAATTGATATTTTAGTTTACAATTTAATATAATTGACCCCTCTTACTACACTACATTGATGCTTACTTTAAATATTTGTTTTTAATTATTTTAAATGACATTTTATAGATTAATAGATATATACTTTATTCATACATTTAGGAAATTTTAGACGTCCAGTAGCTTACACACACACACACACACACACACACACACACACACGCACACACACACACACACACACACACACACACACACACACACACACACACACACACACACACACACACACACACACACACACACACACACACACACACACACACACACACACATATCTCATAAACATAGATAATCTAGTCGGTTATGTAGTTGGTTTCTTCAATATAGCTGAACTGCTCAGTTATGGCTGAGTCAAGACATGAGTCAGTGGGCCAAGTGACTGCAGGTCCTTCAAGGCATAGGGGATGTCATGGGACAAAACCAAAGTCCAGATGCATTGTGCATGTCTCTGGTCTTGTATATGGACCACTCGTGCAATTATGGGCAAACGCAGATTCTGATGCAAGATTAGCCAGAATGAAAGAAATACGTGACAAGAGATTAGCTAAACCACTGGAATCTGCTCACAGAATGACTGTAACTTGTGAACTTATACCAGACATCATTATAGAAGGTGATGGATATCACAGAGAATGCTACCAAAGATTCACCATGAATCTCAAAAGACTCAACCAGAAGCCTGAACTATTAGCAGCAAGTTCAAGGCAAAGTCAGAGGACCTCAACTGGTGACAAGGTGCTCTTCACACCTGACTGTATATTCTGCAACTCAATTACACGGAAAAGGTAAAAAAATAAAGGGATATGGACGACTGAGGGGTTAAGGGAGTTTGAATTTTGGAGTTTGATGGGTGAAGAAGTTGCAGAACAAAAATTTGATGAAAATTTGCTTCGCAGAATTAGAGGAAAGGATATATTTGCTACAGAAGCTAAATACCACAAATCCTGTAGAGTCCAAATACACAAAATTTAGAAAAATGGAGAAGTGCAAGCACAAAAAACAAGGCCAAACAAATACAACTAGTAGAAGCTCACGGTGAGGCATTTGGTGAGGCAAAGAAACTATTAATAGTTCATTAAATCTAAATGGGGAATTACATTTTATTTTTTAGGACGACTTTTAAGACTATGCTTTTTAATGAGTATAATTTACTACACAGAGACTTAGGCTCAATCCCAATTCACCCCTTGGCCCTACCTAGGGTGAAGGGGTAGGGCTACATAGCCCTCGAAACAGAGATTTTTCAGAGGCACACTCCAAACGGAGGGCTAAGAGAAAACTTCACGGAATGCATCGGAAATCACCGGCGAGATCGATCGCAAACGGTTAAACATTTAAATTTAGTGCCAGCTGATTCCACCACGCACTTTATTTACTCTTATAATAACACTATAGTCTAACACTAAATTTAAATTAAGAAATGGTATAATAAATTACCTTTCCGATCAGAAAAGACATACATTTCGAGGAAGGGTTTATTCAATCATCATGTTTATTCAAAGTTAAGAGCAGCTGCGCTGATTGTCAGTTGTTGTCATGGAGAAATCCTGTACAAACTCTGTAACGGCAGAGCAATCGACAACGACTGATGACGTATCGGGTTCATGAAGGGTTGTTCCATTTCGTAGAGGAATATTTCAACCCCTTGGCCCATGTAACTCCGTTTTAAGGGCCAAGGGGTACACTCGAAAACAAGGGGTAGGGCCAAGGGGTGAATTGGGATTCAGCCTTATTCTCATAAAATCAATTATGTGTGTGTTATAACAACGGTGCCTTCTTTTACTATTCTATAATTAAATATTATATTGGTTTTACCTGGTCACAGATGTGCAAGGCAAATATGAGTGTAATAAAACCAGTGGATGGATATCTCCCATGTTTCTGCAGCCAGCGCTCTTGAATATATTTCAGAAAACCAGGATGAAGGATCATCACCTGAGGCCACAGAGAGAAATCACACTGGAACAATTTGACAATCATTATATTTTTGATTTTTGTGTTATTCAAATTTTATATTGAAACATGTCGAGAGTTAATGCCTGATAGGTTGTTTAATTGGTTGGTAAATATATTGAAGCACAGATTGACTGAGTGCTGCTACTCACCTTGTCCCTGTTTGCTTTTATTGTTGGTTTTACTGGAACATATGTTCTAAAGAAGAAAAAAAAAAGGGGGGGGGGGGGTTGTTATGACCAATTTTAATTTCAATAATTTCAATGCAATGGAAAAAAAATCTACAGGCTGAAGCAGCAGAGTGGGCACTGTTGAAATAAAGTAATGTCTTTATGGTCAAAGTAAAAGTAATGTTATACACTCACAGGCCATTTAAAACTGCCTTAATTCTTTGTGGCATACAGTAGATTCAACAAACTGTTCCTCAGAACATTCCTGAATACAGTGAATACAGTGAACTCATTGTCATGTCCAAGAAACCAGTTGAGAAGATTTAAGCTTTGTAGCAAGGTGTGTTATCCTGCTGGAAGTTAGGGTAAGGGTTAGTAAGGCCGTGTAGGCTGTTCGTGGGAATTTCCCCACGAAGTGCCTATTTTGACCCCTAACCGCCTATCTTCTTCTTCAGTGCCACGAAGTGCCTATGGGGTCCCCTGACCACCTAAGCTTCACCATAGTCTTCCTCAAGTGCCACGAAGTGCCTGTTTTGACCCCTAACCGCCTATCTTCTTCTTCAGTGCCACGAAGTGCCTGTTTTGACCCCTAACCGCCTATCTTCTTCTTCAGTGCCACGAAGTGCCTATGTGGTCCCCTGACCACCTAAGCTTCACCATAGTCTTCCTCAAGTCCCACGAAGTGCCTATTTTGACCCCTAACCGCCTATCTTCTTCTTCACTGCCACAAAGTGCCTATGGGGTCCCCTGACCGACTAAGCTTCACCATAGTCTTCCTTAAGTGCCACGAAGGGACTATTTTGACCCCTAACCGCCTATCCCTCTTCTTCATTGCCACAAAGTGCCTCTGGGGTCCCATAACCACCTAAGCTTCACCATAGTCTTCTTCAGTGCCACGAAGTGCCTATGGGGTCCCCTGACCACCTAAGCTTCACCATAGTCTTCCTCAAGTGCCACGAAATGCCTATTTTGACACCTAACCGCCTATCCTCCTCTTCATTGCCACGAAGTGCCAATGGGGTTCTCTGACTACCTAAACTTCACCATAGTCTTCCTCAGTCCCACGAAGTGCCTATTTTGACCCCTAACCACCTATCCTCTTCTTCATTGCCACGAAGTGCCTATGGAGTTCCCTGACCACCTAAACTTCACCATAATCTTCCTCAGTGCCACGAAGTGCCTATTTTGACCCCTAACAACCTATCCTCTTCTTCATCTCTACAAAGTGCCCGAACTTCACCACGGTCTTCCTCATGGCCGCAGAGTGCATATTCTGACCCCTAACCACCTATTTTTGGGGTCTTTTGGGTGGACGGTGTGACAGAAAGGTCCGGTCGGCCCCAAACTGACGTGTTCGCCCCTTCACGGGCCCCTGGGACGGGTTCTAGAGTTCCACGCCCCTCCAAGCTTTTTTCGCGCTGATTGGCCACCAACAGCCCTATGGAATAAGCTGCACGTGGGATGTCAAACAAACAGGGGCCAAAAGGGGTCCAAAGGTCGCAGCGGCCCCAAATTCACCACGCCGGTAGCCCGGGGGGGCCCCGGTTCTTGATCGTGAGTTTGGTGTTTCTAGATGGTTCTAAGTGTGTGTTTCAGCAACACTGTTTGAAGGAAATGCCCGATCGGCCCCAAACTGACACACGCATCTCGTCACAGGGCCCGGGGACGGGTTCTAGAGTTCTGCGGCCCTCTGACCTTTATTAGCGCAAATTGGCCACCAACAGCCCCATGCAATAAGTTGCACGTGGGACGTCAAACAAACAGTCGCCCAAAGGGGTCAAAAGGTGGCAGCGACCCCAAACTCGACACGGCGGCAGTCCGGGGGCCCCCGGTTCTAGATCCCGAGTCGCGGGGTTCTAGATCGGTTCGAGCGCGTTTTCAGTTTCACCCTTCAATGGGGCATGTTAGTCTATGAGGGCACTATGAGTGCAAGAGGCATTTGAGAGAAACTTGAACAGAGTTGGAAAAAAAACAGCCCAGGGTTCTAGAGGCGCAGTGGCCCCAAATTCGGTGGTAGTCCGGGGGCCCCCGGTTCTAGATTGTGTGTTTCAGACAAACGGTTTGAAGGAAACGCCCGATCGGCCCGAATCTGACATATGCGTCCCTTCATGGGCCCCGGGGACGGGTTCTAGAGTTCCGTTCCCGTAAAAAAACAACCCCTTGACCGAAAGGCAGGGGTCGAAAGGTAGCACCACCTCCAAATCCACCGCCCTGGTAGTCGAGGGGCCCCAGGTTCTAGATCCCGGATCGCAGGGTTCTAGATCGGTTCCAAGTGTGTGTTTTTTCAGTGCAAAATTCTCCTCACTTTGGTTCCCTCCTTTCTGTGTGTGAAGGAGAGCGGCCATTGATCGGACCATGTGCTCGGTGAAGGGGGGAAAGAAAGGTCCGATCGGCCCGAAATTGACGTATGCGTCCCGTCACGGCCCCTGGGACGGGTTCTAGAGTTCCGCGACCCTCTGACCTTTTTTCACGCTAATTGGCCACCAACTGCCCCATGCAATAAGTTGCACGTGGGATGTCAAACAAACAGGGGCCAAAAGGGATCCAAAGGTCGCAGCGGCCCCAAATTTGGTACCGAGGTAGTCTGGGGGCCCCCGGTTCTAGATCGAGCGTTTGGTGGTCCTAGATTGGTTCTAAGCGTGTTTCAGCCAAACAGTTTGAAGGAAACGCCCGATCGGCCCCAAACTGACACGCGTCTCGTCACTGGCCCCAGGGACGGGTTCTAGAGATCCGTGTCTGAAACTGCTCGTTTTCCAGAAAAAACACCCCCTTGACCTGAAAGCGCCTGTGAAGTTTGAACTGAATAAGTTGCACGTGGGACGGCCGAAACGCAGGAGTCGAAAGGTCGCACCGCCTCCAAATCCCCCGCCCTGGTAGTCGAGGGGCCCCAGGTTCTAGATCCTGGATCGCAGGGTTCTATATCGGTTCCAAGTGTGTGTCTTTTCGGTGCAAAATTCTCCTCACTTTGGTTCACTCAGACCATATGTCTTTCTGTGTGTGCAGGAGGGCAGCCATTAATCTGACCATGTGCTCGGTGAAGGGGGGAAAGAAAGGTCCGATCGGCCCGAAATTGACATGTTTTTTATTTTTTATTTAACCTTTATTTTACCAGGTAGGCCGATTGAGAACAAATTCTCATTTACAACGGCGACCTGGCCAAGATAAGGTGATAAAAGTGCAAGACAACAATAAGTTACACAATAAATACACAGGGCACAAAAGACAGACAAAAAAAAAACAAAAAACAAAAAAACAATACAAGGTCAAAAAAAGGAACATATAACTCTATTGGGTAACCAAAATTAAAACACTCAAATGTTTTTTATGTTAAAAAGGTATAAATAAATGAAAACTCTGACAATGCAGCTGAAAGAGGTCCATTGTACCATGCAGACAAAAGAAAAAAAGGCTAAAAACAATTAACAGGTACATATATCAGTCATGTGTTCCGAGAGAAGTTGTTTAAAAGCAACAGGTGATATAAGTGCTTCAAGTTTTAGGGTTTTTTGTAATTGATTCCAGTCCTTAGCTGCTGCAAACTGGAAGGATTTTTGGCCAAATGCTGTGCGGACTTTCGGGGTGACTAAGGCAATATACCTATTAGACCGAAGACTACGAGATGGTAGAGCAATTGAAACTAAACAACTTAAGTACGACGGGACTTTGCCAAGCAGAGACTTATAAATAAGTTGGTACCAATGAGTTAAACGGCGAGTAGTCAATGACTTCCAGCCAACTAATGCATAGAGCTGGCAGTGGTGGGTGTTGTAAGGGGCATTTGTAACAAAGCGTATGACGCTGTGATAGACAACGTCCAGTTTTTTCAACAAGGAGTCTGATGCAGTTCTGTAGATGACATCGCCAGTGGCGTAGCCAGGGGAGGGGCCATGGGGGCAACGGCCCCTCCTGAAAACTGATTGGCCCCCCAGTGTGCCCCCACCCTTCTAATTGCCTGTCACTCAAAAATTCAAATCATAATCTTTCAGCTTGTAGTAGAATAATTCATGATTCCGCGTCACGATGCTTCTCAAAAACCACACGGTAAGTTGATATATTTTATACAGCTTATTTTTTTAAAGAAAGATGATGTGTATTCACCCTGCTGAGGGGAAAGTGATAAAGCCTGGAGTGGAGCAAAAGCACGTTCCTCTCTCCACTCTAAGCATTCTGTAATCACTTCGCTCATGGTCCACTCCGGTTTTTCAATTCCCGCTCACGGAAAAACTGCTCCATGTTCACTCAATTAATCTTAGATTTTGAGAAGTGCATGTCAGGCTACAGGTCGTTTGCTGCGGTCCCATGATAGAAAACAGAACGCGGGTCAATATTGGTCGTTTCTCAATACCATGTACGCAAACTTCGGAGAACGAACTCCCGAGGATGAGAGGAGGCGAGTCCGGTTTTTCTGCGGAACAGCGCGTTCTTGATTGCGTCACTCAGCACGCGGCTACTCCGGTTATTTCTTTATGTAGCCTATAGGCAATTAAACGAAATATGGTGTAAAATACAACTTTGCCACTTTTCATCAACAATAAAACGAAATAGATATAAAACACCACTCTGCCTCATTTCATTTATAAATGAACATATTATCAAACATATTTATGGCCACAAAAATGTGGTTCAGGTAACGTTAACGCACATTGACTATCTTCACTGCATATATTTATAGCAACACGAAATATAAAACACAACCCTGCTTCTTTTTGTTTTCATTTTAAAAATGTGAAACATTATTGATCATTAAAACTGACATTTAACAAACAGACAGGGTTCGTTTTATTGTATTACACAGTGAAGAGAATGCATATAGTAAAAACACACACATATATATAGGCTATAAAGAATATTTTATTTATTTTACAATATATAAAATTACACAACCCTGTCTCTTTTTGTTAAATGTCAGTTTTAATGATAATATCCCATTCAAAAGTATAAGTAGCCTAATAGGTGGCTATAATAAGCTATAAAATGAGAAATAAAGCAAACAATTCAGTTAAACTTAAGTCAGCTCTCTAATGGGCTACAAAGTTAAAGTTAAATGGCCTAAATATATAAAGTTATGAAACTTCACTTTTCCCTCAGCCAAAACGATTTGGCATGAAACAAACTATATTAAAATAGTTTAGCATTGTTTGGTCTTATAAGATAAACAAAAACATGCACTGAAAAGTTATGTGGATGGTTGATTAGGCCTATTTGTCAAGATAGCCTAAGTAATTGTTTTTCATAGATTAAAATAGCTTTTAAATTACGCAAACTGGGAATATTAGATCGGTTTAAAACGCTATTGGTCTCGACTATTTAAATAAAGTTACAGGAATATGACTTGGCCTGAAAAAAAAAAATTCAGTCAGAAGAATTTTTTGTGAATTTAATCCCTGCATCCAGAAACATTCTCAAATAAAAAAAAAAAATCATAAATAAATAAAATGCATGATTAAATAGCAAAATAAATAATTAATACTAAAATAACACTGGATTAATTAAGTCATTCTAAACTGTTTCTATGATCCACATATTTTACGTTAAACTAAAGCATACCTTTTTGAAAAAGTAGCTATCTAACAAAGTATTTATATATGATATTTTACAATCAATATGCTCAAGACTAATTAGCCTTCCTTGAAATAAGTAGATTTGGTCTATTCATCAATGCAAATTTACTGCAACTGCTGAAATGCAAATTGAATAGGATGTGGGAAAAAATATGTATTGTATACAATTTTATTACAGTTATATGAATTCATTAACTGTGTATTTATTATATGAATGATTAATATAATTATGCATTTATATAAATAAGGCTGTTCTATTATTATTTGTGAGTTTGACACTAATACATTGGATTATTTT